CTACAAAGCAATGGGCGTGCAAATGCAAGCGTTCTCCATTCTCCTCAAAATGTCACGCTATTGTTCATGTTCAGAACAAAGCAAGAGGAAAACCATGGCTAGTACATAACGGTGGAGAAGTCAGTCAATAATGAGAGGGAAGCTCTCAATGCTAGGCCAAGGACTTCGCACGACATCCACCAGGCAACAGAGAACCATCGAAGATTTGGGGGAAAGTAACATAGTTAGGTAATATCTTTAAGGAAGAAAACTCTAGGTATTTTCCTAGTCCAAATATGAAGTAATTATGGATTAAGGAAGAGGGAATGGAAAGTAGAGATACTGTGGAACAATATATGTGGTGGTAGCAGACAGGAAGTAGAGAAAAAAAGTGAAAGCCTCTGAGGGTTGTTTTTTAATTTGCAGGATCTGAAAATAAAGTTTGAACATTCACCAACATCGGATTTAGTATTTGTAATTTTTAGCTTTTGCATTCAAGGAATTATTATTATTCTATGTTGTCGTACCTTTGATTTTAAGAATTGGCTCTGAAAGTTGATTGAAAACGTGTCCATCTATATACTACTTTATTTGCTAAAGAAGATGTGACAGAACTTCAGGTTTCATTGCATGTTGATTTGTTACCATGGGATCAAATGATACAAATAAGATACACAAAATGAACAGACATTGCACAATACAAAGACTTTCCAATCTCTTAAGGATTTTTAAATACAAAGTATTTTGAAAGTACATATTCCTATTAACGATTAATAAGTTAAACTAGTATATTTGATTTTTGAACAAAAAAATGTATTTTGAAAATAACAAGTATAACTGCATAACTATAAGAAGATGTTTCTAAAATCCCATATATCTTTGCATTTTAAAATTAAATTCCTGAAAACATCTCCTTTACAAAATTAAATGAAATTTGGCTCCAGGACAGATTTCATTTAAAGTAAACTTATTTGGATTTTTCTTTATGAGCTACATATGATGTCGTTTATTTGTAGTTTCAATAAAATCTAGACCTGCTCTACAGATAAATCATGCCCTACAGATTTCATCTTCAGTAAAATCAGAAAATAAATCAACATACAATAAAACCTATAATTCTCTCGTATTTTCTATGAGCAAAACAAATTTGTATAGGTGGCCACATTTTCAATTATTTTTCAGTACCAACTCTTAGAAGCAAACTTTTCAATTTGCTCTTAAAAATAAAGATATATTATAAAACACAGGAGAGTAATAATTATCTAAAAGTGAAAATTAGGGATAACTTGTCAACAAAAATAAGTCTGTGTCAGGATTTCTATCCTTGTTGTTTTATAAATGCTCTTTGTTAGCTCAGACTTTTTCTTGACCCTCCTAAATAGGATTTTCACTGGGTCCAAAGAACTTTAGTAGACTAGAGTTCTACTTGGTGTTCCACGCATTTTCCTTAGTGAACTTCAGTTTCAAACCATTCAATATCTTCACTTCACAGAGGAGACAAGCAGGAATAAAAGAAATCTTGATTTTTTTTTCAAAATAATATGGATAACAAAAAATACTTCTGACATAACTTATTTTCCTATTCATTCATGAAATAAACAGTCACATTTCTATGTCCTCACTGGCTTTCCTTTAGGTGTGTCTTAGAATACACAGGAATTATGGGCATCACCATGTATCATATATATATATAACCACATGACACTGAGTTGATTTCAATAAAGCTTGGTATTAGAAGTTCCTAATGAATTATTAAATCTACTAAAATTAATTTTACTCTATGTGTTATATAATCTGGACTAGCTCATCACCTTAATTTGGAGACGCACATGTCTGTAGTCTCTATTTAGAATGTTTGTGAGAGGTAGTATCAGACAACCTAAAGAAGTCCATCTCCAAAACTGTTCAGATTTGGGTTTCATATAATGCACTGGACCCTTAGGGCTAGATGACTACAGCATAGGCAGAGTGACAGTCTGCAAAGCAGCATTTAAAAAATGCATATGTGTAAACAGGAGCATGAGCATGTACAGTTGTATGTGTATGTATGTGTGTCCTTGTAACCTAATATTTCTAGGTAAATTAATGACAGAACACTAAGATATTCCATTCAGGTAAGCAACACAAAGTAAAAACATGTTATCTTTGCTAGTGGTAAATGGTACTGGCTTGGAACAGTCTAAAGTTTTCTTCATAGAAATCCTTTACTACTTGTACTGTAAGAATTATAACTTCCCAAATAAAACTTTAATGAAGTGCTATACAAATTTATGCAATTTTATACCAAATGTTCTTGTTCAGAAAAAGTTGTAATGCTCTGTACAAACAGACATGAAGTGAAAGGGCAAAAAACAATGTTGGTTGGCATCAGTGTGAAATTTTATTTTCTCAAAGTATTTGACAAAATTAAAATCCAGTGAAAAGTATAAAGCATTATCATTCCATCACTCTTTAAATGAGGATACAATATTTTGCAATTCAGTAAATACTGATGGGATGCCTACTTATGTGCCAAGTACTATTCTAGATATAGAAAATTAAATGGTAGGTTCAAGGCCACAGAACTTTAGTAACAAAACCAGGAACACTTTTAAAAAAATATCTAGTCAACTAATTCAGATGCTCATTTCATTACTTTGTTATTTAGTGTAACTCATTTATTCCTCATCAAGCCACTTGAAAGTTTTTTATTTCACATTTTAAAACAATAATTTTATCAAAAAATCAGTGGCTTTCAATGAAATTATAACACTAAAGATGGACAGCCCTGAATTAAAGCCAACTTATTTTTACCTGAATTCTTACTTTATTATGGTTGTTACCATTGTATCTAAATCCCGAATTTACAAGAAGAAAATATAATATGAAGAGTTTTAAGAGAAGCTATATCACTCCCTTTAAGTTACTCAATTTAAAAACTATTTCTTCCTAGTAATTTCTATTGTTTCCAAACTGGACAACTTTCTTTCCATTGTTAGTATACCATTATTATTCCTAGTAATTTCTATTGTTTCCAAACTGGACAACTTTCTTTCCATTGTTAGTATACCATTGTTATACTTTTTTTTTTTTTGTCCTTTTTGAGACTGGCCGCACCGCGCTCAGCCAGTGAGCGCTGTGAGCGCGCCCGTCATCCCTATATAGGATCCGAACCCGCGGCAGGAGCACTGCTGCGCTCCCAGCGCCGCACTCGAGTGCGCCACAGGCTCGGCCCCATTGTTATACTTAACATTCAATTCTATTTTAGGTACAAAGGACACTGCTACATTATTAACTCTAGAATGAATAAATGTCAGATATTTCTTCTACTTCATAATTTAAGGAAATATTTTCCTTATTAGCCATAGATGATTTTTAGGTTTTCCTCTCTGGTAATCACAACCATATATATTATTTTAATAAATAAACATAAGGACTCTACTATTCTAAAATGGTCAGGTGAAGTCCTCTTCCAAGATACTATTTGTTCATCAAATTATCTTTCTATTATTAAATGTACAATAAAAGGAATGTTCCATGGCAATAGTTAAAACCGTAAATAAACATAAGGACTCTACTATTCTAAAATGGTCAGGTGAAGTCCTCTTCCAAGATACAATTTGTTCATCAAATTATCTTTCTATTATTAAATGTACAATAAAAGGAATGTTCCATGGCAATAGTTAAAACCAGTTTTATCAGCATTTTTTTCAACCCAGTGCCTGCCTGAGGTCAAATTAACAGAAGTATCCAACTGTCATGTCAAAGAATACATTATACCTAATAGAGAGTTGTAGGTATCTGCTCAGAACCTGATGATCTTTAAAACAGTTTTACTAAAAATGTAAGAGCTGGCATATAATTGGTATATCCCTGATCTTTTTAACTTCCAAAAAAACAAAAACAGTAACTGAATGAAATTATATTGCATCTCTCCTACCTAAAGAATGTGCAGCTGTGGTTTTGGAGCTGAAAAACCGGCCAAGCCCAAGATCTCCAAGTTTTACCACACCAGTCGCTGTAATGAACACATTCGCTGGTTTTATGTCTGTGAATAAATGAAGGGATCAAGTGAAAAATTATGTAACTTTAGGAATGTTAAAGAGATTAAAAACCACTTTTCATGGCAGAATTTATAATACATCTTAAACATGAAAGTTTAAATTATGAACCAATTACTTTAGTTAGAATAAATTTGATATATATATATATATATATATTTCAAAGTTCTCAATTCTTTGATAGGTAATGATCAATGCATCATGATAAAGATTGTTATTAATTTCCATTAAAAACATTTTATTTTCCATTTTCAAATAACCTTTTGTGAAATTCAAAGCACAAAATAAATTTGTGTCCTTTTTATATAAATTTTAAATAAAATACCTTACTAAGATTAATTTATTGGTATTGTCACATAAAACATAAAATCATGACTTAACACTATTATGCATGTATTTACTTAGATGACTTTAAAAAAACATAAATTGCTTAAATTGTATTAAAATTTTTCACACTCCCAAATCAGTTAGTGATGTAACCTTAATACACTCTGCCCAGCCATTTTACTGATAATCAAGAACATATGAAGAGCTAATGTTTAAGATTAAAAACCTAACTGGCCACAATATACATTGCTCATTTGAAAAAAAAAACATACAAACTCTTTGTTATGCCTACTCAACTGCTTTCCTGCATCTTTCTTTCTGTTTACCAACATAACCAGTAAGATGCTCAGAAAAATCAAACAGAAAAATAACTAATTTTCATTCTTATTTAAAACCAGGTAGGGCTTCACTTAATGGTGTATCATTCTACTAAAAGTATAATTGGGAAATAACTTGCCTGCGAAAGCATGATACTGAACAATGACTGGAAGACGTTTAGTTTAAGTTACTAAATAACTTGTATCATTTAAAACAATAGTACATTTTCTTCATGATTTTGTCTTACCTCTATGCATGACTCTTCGAGAATGCATGTGTTCCAATGCACTGCAGAGCTGAACAAAGTACTTCCAAACAGTTCTTTCAGGAATTAGCCTCTTTTGTTTCTTAAAATGCTTTTGAAAAAATTAAAAAGAATTGTGAGAACTAAAGTTTCCTAAGACTGAATTATGACATGCAAAAATCCAGTAAGTCAGAAAAACACCTACTTTTCTCTACCTATCATCAACTAAAAAGGAGATAATTTTCTATATTGAAATAATTCCAAGAATTTTACCTGACATAATAGCTTAAGTTTCTTTCTATTACATCTAACGTTAGTACAAGCCATGTAACGCTACATCTTTTTGATGTTCAGTTATTTAAAAAAATTAATATCTATATAAAATAATTCCTGGCCTTAAAAGGAAGATGTCAAATTTCATTCTAAGAAAAGCCAGAATAAAAAAGTCTAGAAACCTGAAGGTAATTATGTTCCCTAAAAGACAATCCTTCTCCTGGAGAAGGTTTCACTATAGAATTCCTTTTAGATATTGAACCACCTGGTGATTTGAAATATCACAATTTATTAAAAATTAAATAAATAAAAGGGATTTATGAATATTTCTATTGCACACTGCAAGTCAAACTTCCATCTTGCTTTGAATGAATGAAGCTAAACTCCATGAAAGAAAAACCTTACAGAAAGGCCAGAGCAAAAAGCTGAGAAGCTCCAACAGGCTAGTCAGGAGATTGGGGTGTTATGCATAAGCGGGCAATTATTAAAATAACCGCAAAACCAGGGGTACATATTTAAGCCCATTGTCTTTTACATTAAAATTGTTGGAAGACTACTAACAATATGCTAGAAGACTACTAATATAATATGCTCATTAAAGAACTTTTTATTTCATAAGATATAAAAATTCATTATTTAAAAATTATTTTTCAAAAACAAAAGTGCAATTGGTTTCCTAGTCAACAATATTTATTGATGACAACATAAAGAAACATTGCACTTAAACAGGTTTTCACAAAATTTTCTGATTTTACTTTTTAAAAGATATCTGCATTTATTAATAGATATCAAAATTTAAATATGTATTTTAATGCATATTATCTGGAAACTTGACATTTTGAGAAGTTCAACTAATCTGATGTTTTGTTATTGAATCTGAAGAAACTATACTTGAGAAAATTCCAAAACAACTACCTCTCAAATTTTATACCTGTGACCAGTTGAGGGCAGGGTGGAAGAAAAAATAGTACAAGGAAATCTGCTGATATCCCTACTTCATACTTAGCAAAAAAATTACATCTACTGTCTCATATGACTCAATATACCAAAGCATAAATCTTTAAGGAAAAGCTAATAACTAGTTTACAACATGTACTACGGAAATTAACTTATGGGCAATTTCAATAGCGATTACTTCTGTAACATTACACCCCAAAGAACAAACAACAATTAGATGACCAGGTTATTAAAAAGCAAATCGGGGCCTTACTAAAAAATGTCAAAAACCCCATATCATGTTTCAATATTAAGTTTTTTTAATTGGAGACTGTGTCAACATCAGTTTTCATTTACTAGTTTACAACATGTACTACGGAAATTAACTTATGGGCAATTTCAATAGCGATTACTTCTATAACATTACACCCCAAGGAACAAACAACAATTAGATGACCAGGTTATTAAAAAGCAAATCGCGGCCTTACTAAAAAATGTCAAAAACCCCATATCATGTTTCAATATTAAGTTTTTTTAATTGGAGACTGTGTCAACATCAGTTTTCATTCGAAAGGGGCAATGCTGTAAAATCAGTTCTTTACACATAATTTTCTTTCAGAGTTGGAATGAGTCCAAATAAAGCCTGTATATGTGCTCTCTCCAATGCGGATTAGCATATCAGAGGACCGTTTGATGTCAACAGGAAGATGGGGACCAGGTTTCTTTTCATTCAAAAATAAATACACCATATCATGTAAGTATCAGACCATGAAAAAAAAATTATGCATTAATATAGATTCTGAAATCATCATAACTATAATTTGTTTGACAGTTTACCATTTAAATCCCAATACTTAAAAAAAAAATCAAATATAAGGGAAAAGGCATAATAAAAACACTGCTCCCAAAATGCACATTAGAGAAGATGTTATCAGACCAACATAACTTGATTATTTTCATGTTTTTATATTCTTCTTTGAGACTGTCTCTTACAACAAATTAAAGATGATGACAGTAAATTGACATCAATATAATGCCACCTAGAATGACCTGGAGTTAAGTATCCAAATTAGTACAGTCTCTGAAGAACATATTATGAATTTTATTTTGTCATAAAATAAAGACAGTTTCATTATGTCATTGGTATCTCCCAATATTTTTTTTTAAATGCCAGTTTAGGCAGATGTGGCTTTTCAATCATTCCTAAAGTATAGGGTTTTTTTGTTTCCTTTTTTTTTGAGTAAACCAACACTCAGAATGAGAAAAGCCTGTCTGTTCTGATGGTGGCACTGTTGGCTATCTCTTAAAAGAGGATGAACAGCAAAAAGGGAATGCAAATTTGAATTCTTCTTACTATCGGAAAAATTTATATTAGCACTACAAAGCAGGAAACTTCCATAATGCCAAAGTATTCTTAAAAAAAACAAAAAACCCTTCTCTTAAAACTTAATCTAATATACACATATCTTTAAAGTTTATTCTCTAGCCAAATAGCATCACTGTTCAAAAGCCCTATTTTCTCCTGGAAAAAAATACAGCACCATATAAATATTTAGCTCTAGATTAGAAAAAAATCTAAAGCCAACATATAAAAATAAAAATTTACATGGATTCATCATGTGGTAAGTTTGTATAAAACAATAAATAATGCAACCAAAATTTCTAATGATTAGGATCAATATAAATATTCCATAAAAAAGAAAGATTATGTGATATGGCACTTTTACCAAATTTCTGCTATGAAATAGAATTGCAACTTTTTTATAACTGAAAATAAAGTATCTAAAAATTTATGAACAGGCAAAAATTAACAATCAGGTATACCTAATCACTTGTGCAAAATTTTTTATTCTTTTTTTTTTAAAGTAATCTAGTCTTTTCTCTATGCAAATCTTCAAATATTGTTTATTTTAAAAAGACATTTTCTTTATTTATCAACATTATTCGAATAAACCCTGGGCATTATTCAAAAAGAAAAACCAGATGTAACAAAAAGCTAACCAATTTACATACAAAACATATATACAAATATCAGATAATATTATAATACTAGTTACGTGTAAAAAGATTACCAGCATTTCACTTAGGGGAAATTCAGCATACCTGATAAAACACATTGGCATCAACAGTTGTGACCTGTATTAATATATGAGACTAGCTGATGCAAGCTGCTTCCTCTCAAAGATTCTAGGAATATAGTCACACCTTAATAGACATCTTTTTTTTTTTTTTTTACTTCACCAAACATCCTCCTACAGATTAAATGCCTAAAACCAAATCCAATTATATAGTGGACACTGAATGCCTAAGTACAATTTTTTAAACTCAGCTGGGTAACACGATTCCTGTATTCTAGACACTACAATTCTATGTACAATATACGTAGTTTATATCTAAGTTTTGTAATTCTAGCATTCTTCCTCAAGAAATCTGAGGAATTTCTATAATATCATCCAACATAAATTCACCAACTGAGAAAGAACAGAAAATGGTCTTGTTTTATAAAACATTAATCTCCATGGTATATCACAATGTTGAAGCCTACAGTTTGGCATGTTCATCATTAAAGAAGAAAATTTCAAGCAAAACACCTGGAACCATGAGGGCCAGCTTCATGAGCATGTAGGTCCTGCACTTGGTTTAATGCTCTATTCCTGCATCCTGAATATTCTTGACAACTTTTTAACAGAAGGACCCACAATTACATAGCTGGTCTTGGGAATCATATAGCAAAGCACACTTAAGAAATGTACTGCTGTGGTTTTTAAAAAGACAAAAAAACAAAAAACAACAACAACAAATGCAATCCTGGTGTGCAAAGCATTTTTGAAGAGGATTAGAAAAAATGATGATAATTAAATGATGAATTTAGAACTAGAATTACAGGCACCAGCTGTTCTCCATCTCCTCCAAGTATCTAATAAGAGGAAGTAAATGATTTATGCTCAATATAAGGAAGTATTTCCTGCTTGCTAGTGTCATCAAATGTCAAAATGTGCCATAACACAATCCATATTTATCTTTTATTAATACACCTGATTATGAGGCTTGACAGTAACTGGTTGTGTGACCTTGAGCAAGCCACTTAACCTTCCTGGGTCTCAGTTTCCTCACTATATTGAAGAGAGTTTGGAGATGATCTATGAAGTCCCCACCACCTCTAAAATATAATCTATGGCTTTACAGTCTCAGTTAAAAACAAAACATAAATAATAAATGTCTGTTTGGCACATTTTCACACTTAAAAATAATAACAGTTTACAAGTATGTTCCATCCTTCACATCTCCAGTTAATAAAAACAAAGTAAAAAAACAACAAAAACAAGCAAAAAAACCCCCAAAAAACCCCGCAGAGATCCCTACTGGTCCATTTAATACTATATATGGTCTTCACATGAGATGACAGGTAGTTAGAGTTCTTTGTTATAAACCTGCAATTAGGTCAAACATTTACCATCACAAGGTAAACATAATATTTATGTTCCCAGACAAATATGTCTTTGTAATTATGCATTCTTATAAGACTACATTTTGCAGTGGTTATTTCAAAGAACTAAATGCACAGAAACTGAGTAATGGAAAAGACAGGAAGATTCTGAAAGTGTAACTGACAGTTCTAAGTATAATTTTTATTACATATTAACCTTTCTATGAAAACATTTTTCTTCTTAAGGTATATCGAAGCATCAATAGACTAAACTACACAAATACTTACTATACACAATTTTGGGGAACTATATAAATGTGTATAATATTCACATCTCAGTTAGAATTTTGGTTATGTAATACTAATTTGCAGCATGTGAATATTTTCACTCTTGGCACTCTGAATAAAACTCAGATACCTTAAGTTGCTTTAGAATGTATGAAGTGGAATGGGCCTAGCAGCCACGAGATCACTGA